TGTGTACATACAAAATTGTGGAAAATGTTGAGATTACAGAAACAACTTTTTTTATTTGCTATTTTATATTTTTTTTTTAGCAAAAAGCAATATGTCGCGATGACGCACAGTGGTTCGGAAGCGTAATTTAGTGGGCAAACAGAGAAGGAAGGAAATTAAGATTTTTAATCGATTTTCACATATATAATAATATATAATGTACTATTTTTGTTACATATATATTTTTTACGGGAACAAACTTTACATCTATCAACTTGAAATAAACTAACTGTATACGTACGAGCAAGCTCAAAAACTCAATAAAATCGAATCATAAAATTGATTTTTTTCGAACAGATTGGTTCCTCATCCACTGCCAGGAAAAAAAGTAGCACTTGAGAATACGAAATTTGATCAAATTAACAAAGTCATCCACTAAGCCAGTTGTTAGTACTACCATTCGGCAGTACGAGTTAGCGTTACACACCTCCTGCTCAATCGACCGAGCGCTGCGCCTGAAAAATAATCGAAAAGTACAATAAACCAGTAACCGAAAATCCTAACTATCCTGAGACTGAGATCGATCATGGAAGGTCCCGATTACTCTTGCATCTTACACTAAACAGCTACAGATTTTCAGCTGCTATAAAATACATACGCCTAAAATATTGGCTTTTCCTCAAGCCTTTCCAATGCGGCTTAGTATGAGCTGAAGGTCCCTCTAATTTCCGACCTAAACCACAACTTGGAGGAGGAGCTCGGCTTCAGTGGTTACATGGCCTCAGTTATACATAAGCCAGGAAAATGACTATCTACGTTAAAAATTTGTAGCAAATCGATCTATAAACACGATTTCTTGGATAATTTCACCATTTGAATGTGACGGAGCCCTCGCGAAAGGGCTGATAATGATTAATTTTGTCACACAAATGTATGTATAAAGAGGCATTAAAATTAAAAAATTCCGCTCTGATTTGAGATTAATAAATAAATTGGCTCATAGGGGTTTAATTTTAAACGGTTCGATTCGGAAAGTGGTCAAATAAATATTCCTGCCTTCTGTGCTTGTGATATCGTAAAGCCAAAAAATAACATTGGCCCGTGGAAGCGCTGGTTTCAGAACAAAAGAGTTCGTGCAATTCTCTCTCAAAAACGGATTGCAGAGAAGATGCAATCGGCAAGTTTTGAGAAGTGACAATAAGCTCACTAAGGAAAAACTCAAATTTCACGGTCACTATGAGAAATCCGCGTTTGTTCGGCTTGTTCAAAATTTTGTATTGAATTTAATAAATGTTCCGAAATTATCTCAGCACGTCCAACAACTGAACAAAGTCGTTTTAAAATACTTCGATGCAACATGAGTTTCATGAGTTACACATTTTTTACAACCATCTGGGCTAACTTCCCGTCAATACTCATGGAAAACTTAGTAAAGAACATTCAGTGTAGCTTTCTACGTTCGTTATAGGGAAGAAATTCATATAAAATAAAAATCTTTTCATTTTAATAATTTAATGAACAATTTATTAAACAAATATTTCGAAAAGCTATCGACCAATAGATTTGAAATTTTTTCCGATTGTTTCTATGGCTCCTGGGAAGATTTATAAGGAAAGTAGACCAGGGACTGAACTATTTGAAAAAATTTTAATTGTGCTTCTATTAACTGGAAATCCGGTATATAACGGATCTTTTGCATATATTAGTAGGAGAACTACTTTCCACTCTGGGAAGTGGGCCAGGGACCGAACTATTCGAAACTATTTTTATTTATGGTTGCTTTTACTTGAAATTCAAGGTGGCTCTTGGCGATAAATCGTATTTATAGTTCTTTTTTTCGGTTATGAAACAAATGATATTTAATTTTATTTGGAAATGTTATTGATTATTTGCATTTGAAAATTAAAAAAAATTATACAAATTTTACTAAAAGTGTAAAATTTTTTAATTTTAAAGTCCCGTTAAAAAATACATTTTTTTGTTCTCCCTTATAAAAGCGAAGTTCATAAGAGTTTTTTATTTTTATGTAAAATTCTTTTAAATTTTTTTTCCTCGCAATTTACTTAAAATCGCAACACTGTGCCGCGCTGCCGACGAACAACGAACAATTGAATTGCAAAATTCGCGCTGCCAACAACAACCATAACTGTTAAGTGCACACTCAGCAGCAATAATAATAGCAAAAACAACAAAAATCATATGCACAAATGACTGCAGTTACATAGCACTAGTTGTTGTTGTTGCACATATTATATTGTTTGAATGGGGAAAGAGCACATGAAACGCACAAAAACTCTTATCTCGCAAGTCATTCGGAAAAACGGTGTTTCCACAAAGTGGCACATACGCATAAGCGCTGCTGCCGCCGCAGCATGGCAATCCACCAGTAGCAGGCGGACATACATGCATACATACATACATACATACATACATATATACTACAATAAATGACTGGATCAGCAACGCAAGCACGCAGCCAGGCGGCAGGCAGGCAGCGAAAAAAACCGCATGTGCATGAGTACGCGCGCACACGCTCCGAAAATTGAGCTAACAACTCAATTCCAACCAAATGTGGTTTGACGCAACGCAACGCAGGCAGCACAAGCGCACGGGGTGGTGGGTGGTATGATTCGCTAGGAAATAACGAAATAAAAATTAAAAGAAATAAAACGGCAATCTGCCGCATACATATTAACGCACTTGAGCGAAGCGCATTTTATGTTTGCGATTTTTGTTGAGTGAGTGTCCTTCCGAGTTGGTTTTTGAAATTACTTTTTTATACAAAAGAACATAAATGCTGCTTTTGTTGTTATTGTTTTTATTTTTGTGTGCTTCTGATCTGACTGACTTAATGAGGCTCAACCGTCAGTCGTCAGTCGGCGGTCAGTTTTTTTTTTGCTTTTTGTTTTTTCATTATTTGATTTTAGTATAGACCATACAGACATATGTATGTACATATATGTAAGAGCATATGTACATATGTATTTAGCTTAATTTGTTCTAAAAGCCCATGCGACACTTCAATAATTGGCGACCAATGAAGCGGAAACGGATGCGGTGTGGGCGGTCTTCGATACTAAACTCATGAAGAGTTTTAACATTAAAACATACGTATGTACATGTATTTACAGGCATATGCCTATTTATGTATGTATGAATTATGTACGATGTTTTTGATACGCTGCACAGCAGCAGGCCAAAGCGAATTTGAAAGCGTGAAAGTTAGTGTTGCGCACCAATAATTTCCATGATCTTCTGCCGTTGAAAGTCAGCGTAGACTCCATTTTTGTTTAATATAAGAGAACACAGTAGACAAGGTACAGAGACGGCTTTATTTTCGATCTTAGAAACATTTTACTCTTTATTTATTTCTCAGAGCATTGACTAATTTTGACTTTAAGATATTCGGATATAGATTCAGATACATTTAATAAAAAATAAAATGCATGTGTGAATAGTAAACCGCCTGTATGCATGTATGTATGCAAACAACTTATTCACCACCTAGAGTATTTTACTCACCATATCAACCTAAACACAATAACCTCTCACTTTGTTTTCTGTTTCACTCCGAATATTTGCTACACAACAATAGATGTCGCCAGTAACTGCTCCAGATTATTTATCTAACTGTAGCCCAATGTGTTTACAAGTGAAATGAACTGAAACAAAATAAATCAAAATAATATAAAACAAATTAAAATAAAATAATAATAACTGAATCAATTAATAAAATTAAATTAAATGAACAAAATAAATTACATAAAATATAAAATTAAAAAAAAAATTATTACAAAAATTAAATTTAATTGAATTTATTAATATAAAAATAAACTAACGAAATAAAATGAAATGAAATAATGCAACATAAATTAAATTAAATTGAATTAATTAATATAAAAATAAATTAAACTAAATTGACTATACTAAAATTATAATAAATAAAATAAAGTAAACAATAAAACTAATAATATTAAATTAAAAAAAAATATAAAATAAAATTAAACAAAATAAAATATAAAAACACTTATTTGTTTTAAATAATAGTAAAATAAAGTAAAGCAGTATAATATAAAACAAAATAAAATAAATTAATAACAAATTAAATTAAATTAAATTGAATTTATTAAAATAAAATAAATAAAATAAAATATATAAACTATGTAAAAATAAATATAATAAAATAAAATAATATGAACTAATGTACTATTAAACTAAATTATATTAAAATAAATAAAATAAAACAAAATAAAAATAATAATATAAAATTAAAATAACTAAATTGAATTGGAAATTAATTTACATTAAACTAACCAAACTAAAACGAAAATAAATAAAATAAAAATGATATAAAATAAAATTAAAGAAATTAAAATAATATAAAAACCAAATCAAATGAAACAAAATTAAATTAAATTAAAATAACTTCAATTGTATTTCTTAATATAAAATTAAACTAAAATAAATTAGCTAAAAAAAAAATAGAATAAAAAAAAAAAAAAAAATTAAATAATTTAAAATAATTATTATAAGATAAAATAACATACAATTAAATTAAATTTTTTTAAATAAAAAAATAAATAAATAAAAACCAAATTAAATTGATTAATTTGAATTAAACTGAATAAATTAAAATAAAGTTATATAGAACAAAATAAATAAAAGTTAAATTAAATTCTATTAAATTAAAGAAACAAAAAAAAGACAATATAAAATCAAAAAAAAAAAAAAATTAAAATAAAATAAAGTAAATTAGCTAAATCAAAACCGAATAAAATAATATTAACATAAAATTAAATTAAATTATATTAAATAAAAAAAAATTAAAATAAAATAAAATTAAGTAATATGAAATGAATTCAAATAAAATGAAATGTTATTATATTGTAAAAGAAAAATCATAATATGATAATATGATTTTTCTTTTTTGCTACAAATAAAATTAAAATTTTTTCAAACGATTTATTTCGCTTATACTTTATATATTTTTCTATAAATTATAATTCATTTTTATTCAACAGGTCATTGCAGGTCCACATTTTCGCGGCTGGCTGGAACCCTCACATGATGTATCGACGTGGCTGCGAAAAATACGTGCTGTCGATAATGACGGAGAGGCTAATCTGAAGAACTTCCTTGTGGCGGGATATGTGAGTGAATGATAAAAAAAATTAAAAATTAAAAAAATCACCCAATTATTATTGACAATAAATGATTAAATTCACTTTCTTACAGCTTTGGTATGAAACAAATCGTGATATAAATGCTGGCGAAGAAATCACAATCGATGGACGGCCGCGGACACCCATTCACATAAATGATGGTTTCGTCAACGGCGCGGACGCGGGAGGAGCATTAGGTGCGACGAGTGGCTCAGTACATGGTGATGATAAAAGCGAACGTGATAATGGTGAGTGGAATGGAAAGTGCTTATAAATATGCAAAAAAAGTTGCGTTGAGACACATAAAATTTAGTCAGAAGTTAAAGTCTTTTTGTGTGTTTAATTTTGATAAGATAATTTTGATATACATACGTGTATGTACATATGTATGTACACATGTACATATGTACATTCCACTTATCTGCCGTTAACTCGACTTTTATGCCTCTGCGCCTGCCAATCTTATCTGATGATGCTGCAGACATTGATCCTGATGCGTGAAATGAGCAGCTGCGCGGCCACAATAACAATCATTGGGAAATGTTGCCTATCTCGATTTTATTGCTGCAGTTATTGTTGCCGCTTATGGGCAATGTTTGTGCTTAGCAAATATCATTGGCGATTAGTGAGCGCAAACATGCAACTGATAGCGAGAAATTGATGAATACGCATGACTTGCCACATGGCACGCGTGTATTTGCCCTCAACTTTGAAAGAAATTCAAATGACATGTGTACATATGTCGTCTATATGTACTCGTATAAGTACATAGTTATGAATATAACTCATTTTACAATTGCTTGCATCATTATTCACACGTTGCACAATCACACAATCATACGCCGCATGTCCTGTGGCAGGAACTGCCAGCGTTAATACTGATCCTTGATCCTACCGAACAGTAGCTAGCGAAGGGGTGCTATTTATGTTGATTTCAGTGATAAACAAAACATGAGAAGCAAAGAAAAAAAATTATTTTATACCAACAACAACAGCAAATGTAATCTTAATAACAATGTGAGAATAATTATGAGACATCATTGCGTTGATTATTTGCGGGAATTTCAATTTCAATTCACACTTTCAAATCAAACATCACAAATCCGCTCACCCCACACTCCACACGCACCCTTTAGCTGGCGTTGCGTATGCGCATGTGCACAATATCACATTCATGGTCGCGCATTGTATGGCATGAGACAGGCAACCGTGCATATGTTTTTATTTGTTATTAAAATGTTTGATAATTCCATTAAGGCGAGCAACACATCGAATTTGAAAACAACATCCCTCTAACCACCACCACCACCACCACCATTATTGATGCCACATTGCAGCATCATTCCAATCAGTTATGTGTGTTGGCTGACTGGCTTATCGGCCGGCAGGCCGGCAAGCAACGAGGCAGTTGAACTGGATTGTGTGGCGCGCAACCCTACAGGAGTGATGACAGCAAATGACATGCATACACATATTGACTTTTTTTAAAAGTGTGCAGAAGTAGTAGCCAGTGATTATTATTAGCGCGGGTATACGGCGTATCGCGTCATCAGCGGCTTCATCAGTGCAAATACGCTCAAAATATGGCATACGCTCAATTTAATCATAATCCGGGTATTCGCCAGATTCATAATTTACTATTGTTTGATTTTTATTCACACTTATGAATGTATGTAACAAGCTCTAGCACCCTAACCAAAAATCTTTTTATTTCATTTCAATTTATTATATTATAATATAATTTTATTTGATATTATTCTGATATATATTTAACTTCTTTCAATTAATTTTTTTAGTTTATTTTGCTTTACTTTATTTTTTTTATTTCATTTTTTTATTTTATTTCTATTTATTTTTTAATTTTATTTTATTTTATTTTATTTTATTTTATTTTATTTTATTTTATTTTATTTTATTTTATTTTATTTTATTTGATTTTATGTAATATGATTTTTTTATGTTATTTTATTTTTTTTCATTTTATGCTATTTTAAACATTTTATTTTAATTTATGTCATCTCATTTCATTTGAGAGCAGTCGTGAACTACTCTCCTTTTTGAGATAAAACATGTAATGTTTTGTTGTATTGTGCGGTGGTGGTGGTATCACAATCACAAATCAACGCGGTAAATACAGTCAATGATGGTGGTGGCGCATGCGTGACGCGGCTAATTATAAATATGTGGGATTTATGATGATGGAGCTAGGCTTACAACCAACCCAATGACTAAACTACAAGGCAAAGCGCCTTCATCAAATGATATTTGCATTCACGTTTGTTTGCATGTTTTTCTCTGCGTCTCTCATGTTGTATGATTGGCGATAGTAATCTGTTGATTTTGTAGCTGATCGTTGGCCATATGCGTTAGTTGTCGCGATTATCCTGACGGCGTGGCAATGTAAGCCGCAACTGTTTGACACGCAACGCCCAACAGCTCAGGATTAATTTAAATAAAATTGTATTCATTTACATTGGTTTCACTTCTAAGTATGTATACATACGTGTGTATGTGCTTATGTATGAAATTAATATTTATTTATGCAATTGCTTGCCGCATATCACCTTGATGTTAAGGTCTTTTTCATTTTTAACCGTTTTCGAGCGAAAATTTCCCAACATCCATACGCGCACCTGCTCTGTTGCTCTGCAGTGGTGACATACTGACTCGCCGCCAAATTTTCTACAACAGCTTTCGTAATTGAGTTTCACTGAATTCTTAACGTATTTTTCATGTATTCAGTTAATCACTTACATATGTATACGAGTATATACACTTGCGTGCTCTGCAGTGGCTTTTAGCAATTCTTGCTTTGTTCGTTAGGGTTCCGCTGCACTGCACACGCACAAACACCCCTTCTTACAAGGACTCTTCGTTCGAAGGACATCTGGTTGGTACCGTTGTCACTCACTTGACCATGTCTATGTTAATGTTGTTGGTTTTTAATGTTAATAAGATTCAAATTTTTTTAAATTCATTAGAAGGAAATTCATTTCGTCGTGACATGTGGTTTCTAGTTATTTAATTGCTTCTGCACTTGGAGGAACTAGTAATCAAGTGTATCAAGCACTATTATAAGGTATGTGTTATCTATGAATTACTTTGAAACTAAAAATATAATTGGAAGAAACAATTTTTCATGTCTAAATGTTTTTTTTTTTAAACTTGCATTGCTATTGATGATTACTCGCCGCAAGATCATGGCTTTGTCATTTGAAGCTCTGCACCATTCTGTTGAAGCCATAAAAAGTAGCGTTTTCAGCTTAATAATTTCAGAAGCGGTAAACTCGCCATATCGAAATTTTTGCATAGGCTAAATTTATGTTAATAAATGAACTCCTGTCTTAAAAATCATTCATAAAGCCACTTTCCAAAAGAAAACAGAGCAAATCATTGAAGTCATTACTGCATACCAGATTCTACATTCTTCTTTGAGAGTAGTAAGCGGCAGCTACTTAATATACCCAGACATGATTTCAAAATGCTTAATCTCTGGGAATGACTAAACCCGTTTTTAAATGTACTAATTTCTCTCCAAGTTTTGATTTTTATAGTTTTTAAAATCATCACTTCAGCTCCGTTGTTTTCAGTTAGTTCAAACAAGATTTATTGGATTTATTATATTATTAATTTTATTAAAGCTGTAAGCTATTATATATTATATAATATAAATATATATTTTCGACATATAAAGCAAAGAGGAACCGTCGAATCGATCCGAATTTGGGTCTCAAACTACTTCTGCAGTTTTTAATGTAAATCAAACGATAAATACAAATTTTTCTAATCGATCAGTCCCGGGCCGATTTTCCGAAGAAAAAATATTCCCAATATCAATTTAGGCACATCCCTATAACAATTCAGACAAAGACTTATATTTGCACCAAAATTTAACGCAAACCAATCGTTTTAAAATTAGACTCGATTCTACCGAGCAGTTCGGTGCCAGGTCCGCTTCCGGGAAAACATTTTATCGGATGCATATGACAAACACAGAACACACCCTCCAAATCTTAGGTCTCTACGAGCAGTGGTTTAAGTTGTGGGTTGGCTGATCTGTCAGTCAGTGAGAACAAAGACTTTTATATATACATTGTATATTAAAATTGTTCCCGGTTGAATATTACATAAATTCTCTTTAATTTTAATCAAGTACATGTATACCATTGACGCTTAGGCATTTTTTGGGTAGCTTTGCAAATCAATCAGCATAGAGCTTCTGTACTTTATCGGCGAAGAACTTGGCAAGTAGCTTTTCGACCGTCCAAAATTTCATCATCATCAAAAGAGTTTTACAGAGATCGAAACAAATGCTGAAATGTGAAGATCCCTTTTTTAACAATTTGGAGATATTTAGCATCAGCTTTTCAGATAAATGCCTTAGGGTCATAACGTGCCAATTGCCTCACACTTATCTGCAAGCCACAGGCCCACGACACGAGATAATGTGCTTACAAAAAATTTTCTTCAATAAATTGTTTGTTTCGTTGGCTGTATGGTATGTAGCGCCATCTTTTTGGAGCTAAATGTTCTCCACATCGACATACTCCAATTCGGGCATGAAACGGTCATTAATGCTCCATATATCGCTCCCCATGGGACATTCTGATAACATTCTGGTTGGCTTCAGTTTTGAAGAAATATCGACCAATGGATCCCTCTCCATATATAGAGCACATCAAACAGTGACTTTTTGAGGTTACGATATCAGCAATGTCCTGTGGATTGTCAACACACCAAATGCGATATTTTAGTTAATTAACGTACCCATTCTACCAAAAGCAAGCTTCATAGCTGAACAAAGTTTTCTCGTGAAACGATGTTTCGGTATAAGTCCATTCATTATGCAATGGCAAACCAAACTGAGTATATATATAATGCAACAGCTGTCAAAAAGACCAACTCCCAGTATTGCAAGATTAAAAACCATACCCCTACCTGAATGTAAGCCCCCGTTCTCCGCTGGGTGTACCTCCGAAATTCTTTCTCAGCATAAAATTATTTAAATAACTCCTGACACCCTTGTAAGGTGAAATTCATTATCATTGGACGCTTTCTCATAGAAATCGGCAAACAACATTCAGTCTAAGCGCTCTCTTTACCAAAACTTTCGCTAACTTGGTCACAGCTGCGGAGAATAAATTAATGAATGAACCTAAACTCTTGCCACGGCATATCTTCCAGAAGCGCACATATACACGGATTAGAGCACCTTAAGTTATGGCTTTTGAAGCTAAAATGCAACTCT